TTGAAAGTCTGTGGGAAAAGTCCGCACTATCTAAGTAGCCACTTTTATCAAGAGTGGATTTTGCTGTCGGTTGGAAAGGAGCGCAGTCAAAAGTCGCTATCCTGACATAACTGGTATGTCGTGTGATTATGCTGCATGATAATCATTATAACGCCCATATCCAAGAAATGCTTTTTAATTAAAAACACATTCTAAAAGTTCTGTTAAAATTTAATGAGATTGGCAGCCTATTGCAAGTAATATATGCATCACGAGTCGGTCATTCCGGACAAGAACTGTAACCATCACTTACTGCTTGTGGTGGAGGGCGACGTATATTGAACTCGCTGGCCTCTTATGTATAATTAACACAGGGTTATTCCAGATGGTTACCATTCCAGAAAGTGTGTGCAATCCCAATGCTTACGGATATTCAGCTTGCTTTAAAGCTTCGAGTACTTTAAGTTACGAGCAGATCTGATGCTTATTGAGCCCTATATCATGTTAGGCATATTTTTATTGCGAAAGTTGATCTAATTTTGCAAATAAGCGCACCTAAAGGAACAAAATTTAGCGATCTACTTTGTTTCGTTAAACATGGGAGCATAGCTAGTTTTTTTAATTAAGCTACCTCTTAAACTTACAGGTTAAGGGCAGATTACTCCGGTCTGCGCAATCTAACTTAGATAAAACTGATTGATAGTTGAATGTTTACACTTTCTTGTAACGAGACTCCATAATGGAAAAACGTTTATAAAATAGGCTAACTTTAGTCACCATCGACAAAGATATGAAACAGTTTGGAGGTGAGTGCTGTAACCTAGGGCACTCGGTGGCGCATCGATCTGGCTTGGAGGCGTCCTGTATCACGGGGCCTAGCTATTGTTTAGAAGAGAAACCAAGCACTCTGGGTTTCTATTGCTTCACACAAACTGTGGCTTGCACCCGCCTAAAGACCAGCAGCCTGAGGTCCAGTGACTCACGTGCGCTGGCACTCTGAGAGAAGCGAGCAAAACTGACTAGACTGATTGCTCCTCTTGGACCTTGAATGCCAACGTAAAACAGGCGAAAGTAGACCAGTCTGTGATGTCACTGAGAAACAAACGCCACGCCTAAAGTGAAGCACTACCGGGTGGTATGAAGCCTGTATCAGAAGGTTAGAGAAAGCGTTATTTCTCACTGCAAAGAGACCTGATTCGATGATAGAGAAATCTGCCAAAATTCGGAATAAAACAACCCAGAACCTGAACTATTTAACGTATGCGTGATTTCACTATTGTTGACACATGTAAATCGTTGCCCAGTGCATTTACATACAGAGCGTGACCGATCTCATAAAATGTCTGCCAAAATTCTGGAGTGCGTTTCCGATTAGGAAGGATTACGCAAGTAGGGTTGTTATAACTGATTACCGTGCAGCATAACCCTAAAATGTTTCGGACTCGCCAGGATGTCGGCATTTGAATGCACTCGTTTCTGAGCCCATGCAGAAACCACCCTCGGGCAAAAAATGACTACTTATATAGCATGCATTTTTCACACGTATTTTCGATGGTCTTATAAATTCAAACATATTTCTCCGAAAAGATGCACAAAAAATATGGTTTGCTTTGCTCATTTGGTAGGAAATCACATTATCTTCATATTTTATGCTCGAAGAAAGTGTGTATTTAGGTTTTAAAAAGTTTTCCAATTCTCGAATAATTTTCAGCCTGATTTGCCATTGTATCAGCGTTAAGCAACTTCAATCTACAAGGTGCGTACTTTCCGCGTAAGGAAAATCATATATTCCTCTATGCCTTTAAGAAGATACCACATAGGGTTCAGGAAATTTTGCAATGGATCCGGACTGTGTTGTACATTTCATGAGAAGCATCAGTAAACGGACTAGTGAGGTCTTGTATGCGTGGAAATCGCGTGGTCTTAAAAATCTCATATTAGAAACTTTCTTTAAACCTAAATAGACACTTTCTTCGAGCATAAAATATGAAGATAATGTGATTTCCTACCAAATGAGCAAAGCAAACCATATTTTTTGTGCATCTTTTCTGAGAAATATGTTTGAATTTATAAGACCATTGAAAGTACGTGTGAAAAATACATGGTATATAAGTAGTCATTTTTTACCGAGTGTGGTCCATACAGGAGGTCGAAAAAGTGCATCCAAAAGCCGACATCCAGACGAGTCCGAAAGGTTATAGGGTTATGCTGCATGACAATCAGGATAACAACCCCACTTAAGTAATCCTTCCTAATCGGAAACACATTCCAGAATTTTGGCGAACATTTAATGGGATCTGTCACGCACTGTAGTGAGCTACTACATCGTCTTTTTGATCATTCCCTGTAAATTCAAAAATTCCGCGAGATAGCTCTGATGAATAAGAATACTACTAGGAAAAATAAGTTAATATACCTTTCCTTTAACTTCTATACACCGATTTACTCAAGGTGACTTTATGTTCAGTATGCTTCCAATATATACTAACAGCTATAAAAAAGGCCAAAGAATCTCCAAAACTAACCAACTGGGCAGGTTTGCGTAGGCCACAAGCGACGTCCACTCAGTAATAGTCAGCATGAAGTGTGATCTTCAGCAGATTGACGCACCTCGTTAATCTCCTCTGACCCCACTCAAAAGAGTGCTTAGGGACACTAAACGAGTCCGATGCAGAGATAGTTTGCTTCTCCATGCTACAGTTCAAGAGAGGAGCAATAGGTCACTCAGACCGGTCTTTCATCGGACGTCAGAACAGTTGGCCTCGTCCACAGTGTTCGCTAATGTGGTGCGCAGGAGGACATCAGATGTGAACCTAGAGAAGTTATGAAGGTCTGAACGCAGGACCTTCCCCCCTCCGAAGTTCGGCAATTGCGACAGGAGGGGCTTGAAGATGCGGTCACCCGTTTCCCATCTCGCACTCATCCGCACCCGCTCAGTTTGACAGTGTACAAATTAAACAGAATGCAAATCTGAACCTGGTCGGACTCAGAAACATGGACCTCGTACTTCAGAAAGCCCTGTGCCAAATTTCAGAGAGGCTCCCATTATCGCGTATTAACTCCAACCCTAACCCTACCAGTAATCCTAACCCTTATAACTCTAACTCTCCTAGTCCTACCCTACTTGAGGCTCAAATTCGCGTGTCCAGCCCAGAATATTATCGTGAAAGTTCAATCACTGCGGACGATTATGTCCACCATGTGCCCCACAGCATTTTGGGCGCAGGGACAGTAACCTTCAGACGAAGTAGTTTATAGCGGCGTCTTCCAATGTGGGAAAGGCTACCCTCATGCACCCCCGATCGCGGCGCTGTCAGCTGTTGGACTACGCTCCCGTCCGGCGGTGAGATCAATAGGACGTGCTGCTGATCAAGGCTATCTGCGACACCAACAGTTGGACGGATCGATGTCTAGTCATGTCCAAGATAAGGCTCCGAATACAAACTCGCTGAAGGCCACAGGGTAAGAGATCACCAGCTAAGTTGAATGATGTTATATTAAATGCGCCTGCTCACCTCTTCGATTTCAATTATTAACTGGTCCAGCACCTGGAAGAACTACTAGCACCGAACGACACCGCCACCGTGAAAACTCGGTGGTGTCAACTGCGGAATGCTATCTAATCCACTGCTCTGGGCGTTTTCGGACGCTCACTTTGTCAAAATCAGGGCTGGTTCGACGACAACGATGCAGGCACCAGTCAACTGCTCGCCGAAAATCATGGGCTGCATAAAGCCTACATGGATAATCGAGTCGATGCAAACAAGTAGACCTTCTTTCGCTATCCCAACGCCGTGCAGCAGCGACTGAGGGAGATGCGGGACGCCTGAATGACTTTTAGGGCAGGGGAAATCCAGGGGTATGTTGACTGCAATGAACCAAACAACTTCTTCGCCTCAATTAAGGCTTAGAGGACCGACGACTATCTTATAACAGCCGGTGCATGCGCCCCAATGCGCCCCTCTGTGACTACTATCTAAGACCTGCTATTCGCTGACAACTTCGTGCCCAAAATCATGACAGACGCTGACATGCAACGGAGCATGGATCCCTTCGTGTCCGGCTGCGTCAGCTTCGAGCTGCCCATCAGCATGACAAAACGGTGGTTATACACCAGTCTCCACCCAACACTGCATACAATGTTCCTCGCATTTATTTGAACGACACCGGCTGAAGACCGTAGACAACCTCGCCCACCTAGGCAGTACACTCTCAGGCTGCGTCGAACTCGACGTCTAACTGGTCCATCGGATCTCCAAAGTCACCCAAACCTTCGGCCGCCTGCAGAACTCCCTATGGAATCGCCACGGTCTCCACCTGAACACCAAAATGAAGATGTACAATGCGGCCGTATTGACGACTTTACTATATGACGCAGAGATTTGGACAGTCTACGAGAAACGACCGCGGAAATTTAATCACCTCCGCCTCAGTTGTCTCCACCAGACACTCAAGCTGAGGTGGCAGAGCGGGATCCCGGACACGGAAGTTCTAGGAAAAACTGGAATCCTCAGCATTCATGTGATGCTGAGGCAACTGCAATTATGATGAAGCGCTCGCTTTGTGAGGGTTGACGACGTTCGCCTGCCAAAACTATTGTTCATACAGAGATGTCGCTAAGAGTGTTCGCCGACAAGGAGGTAGTACGTGCCGCTACAAGGACACCTAAAAGAATTCATTAGAGCGGCTACAGATAAACCCAAAGATTCGAAAAAACCTCATCCTGGACCGACAGACCTGGAGAAGGGCAGTGAGGAGTGGAGCAGCCGTTTATGAAGTCAGCTGGATCGCCGCTACGAAGCCAAAGGCGGAGCTCGTAAGTCTCAGGCACCCCTGACCAGCAACGCCAACCCCTCCCAACATGCCCGTGCTGCAAACGGATATACGCATGCCAATCTGCCTTATTAAACATCTTCGGACTCAAAACACAAACCTGACAACCGCAACAGCTGCCTTTTCAATGACCCCTGCTCAAACTCTCACGGCGTCCACTATGACGACGTCCTCAGCAATACTCGACAATGCTTAGCCCCGCCGCCACCTCCACCGTTCCTGTCGCAACCTCTGCGGAGACTGCGACGATCACCGCAGCTCCCATCCCCGCCACCAACCAAAACGCACTTGACGGCCCGCCAACCACCACCCTCACTATTGCCACCCCCTCTTCCGTCGATGTGGACTCGGTCCTAACCAGTCCTCAGTGCGATCGTACATCTACCTCACACATAGGCCTGCTTTGTCATTTGCTGATCCATCGCGCCGTGACCGACACACCAATACCGGGAGCTCCGACACACACTCGCCACATCCACCTTCACTGTCCACGCACATTTGTACACCTGACGGGCCTATTCGGTCACATGCGTAAGCGCGGTTCGACCATCGTTGCCGACAATGCGCTCCCGGTGCACTCCACAGCAGGGTAGCATCAGGGATGGTGACTTGCGTCTGAGTTAGCTTAAAGTGATACTGAATTTGCGCAGCATTTACCGCACTCCATACTCCTCACCTACCTATATCGGGTGTCAAGACAGAGTTAGGAAGAGCGGAGCGAGAAGGGGCGTAGGTGGCTGGCATGGCAGAAGCCCGCGTATAGGCTTACCACCACACCCCCTGGTCCACAACGTACACTTACCAGGAGTTTATACCACAACAAAAATAAGGGGCGGGACAGGTCCCAATTGGCGCGGTGCGAATCTGAAAATGGACGTGCCACCATACCACAGTGTTGGCATTTGTTATGGGTGCGCATTTCCGATAACACCTGTCGGACTCTGGTCTAGTTGTCATGTTGTTACAACGCGTCTACCGTGTGAGCCGTTTTAGGCGCAAACTTGCGTATCGACGACGGCAGAATTCATTGCAGTACAGACGTACCTAACGCGCCTTGCACATCTAATAACCCTCCCACTCCCAGCCCAACCGATCCATCGACCAGCGCGCCCATCACTAGCAGAACCAAAACGACAATCGACCCGACACTTCCCAACCTATTCTGTCCACACTGTCATCACACGTCCAACTTGCGCATCGGTCTGGTGGTTCATATGCGGATCCATCGCACAGTGACTGGCGAACCAGTGCCTGGAGCACCAACACACACCCGCCGAATTCATCTCCACTGTCAACACTGCCTCCGCACGGTCACTCATTTCATGGGTCAAATGCGTACCCACGAGAGCGGAATTGACCACAGTCTCGACACACCTAGTACGTCCTGCACATCCAGCATGCCTAGATCAACCCACACCCCGTCGCCAAGCGCGTCCGCCATCAGCAGTTCCACCACTGTCACCAACCCCGAAACAACCACCGCTGGCTTTTCCTGTCCACACTGTCCCCGTACATTCAGTTTGCGCATCGGCCCGGTCGGTCACTTGCGAATCCATCGCACAGAGGCTGGCGAACCAATGCTTGGGACACCAACATACACCCGCCGCATCCGTCTCCACTATCCACACGGCCCTCGCACATTCATGCACAACATGGGGCTATTCGGCCACACGTGCATCCACGCAAACCTGCGGTAGACAACCGCCGGCTGCACGACGCCACCACATCCTCCCTCACCAGCATCCCATCAGACATCAACACCACCCACTGCAAGCACCCAACTGTCACCTCCCACGTAAGTGGGCAGTGTGCGTCTCGACTCGGTCTCCGTGCGGCTCCTGCTGCATGGGTGACTCGCGCCTGAGATTATCCCGACGAGTCAAGCGTCGTGGATTGGTAGGCTGCTAATTGACGCACCAACTCGGTCCACGCAGTCAGCCCAGTTGTGTGTTTCTGTTTGTGTGGAGAGGCGGACTGGTTGACTGGGAGCATGGCCGAGACAGCTCCTTCCACGACACTCTCACGCATGTGAGAGATACACCACTTAACCCACATTGAGTGAAATCCTGGCGTGTGTCTGGGGGGCCGGGTCGTGCATGTGGCGCGCGCAGACAAGGTCATTTGATCATGTCAGCCACCACGCTCATTCCCTGCTACAGTCAACTGACCGGCCTGGAGAATGACTGGGGTATGGGAAAGTAGGGTGAGGTCGACGACTTAGCGCATTTTCCTCACTACTAACAAGCTGACGCGCTTGAATTTATCAGGGTGCGCTAAAAGCCGTGGCTTGGAAGGTTGCCAAATGATGGGATAACTTGCACGTCTCAGTCAGTCAGGTGTTGTGTGGGTTTGTGTGGAGTGGCCGGCTGGTGGTCTATGTCAGGCTGCAATGTCTCCTTCTTAATGTGGTCTTTATGGCACTCCCACTGCGTGGGACCCAAGCCGGGTGTGGCGGCACGCGTAGATGCGGCTTCGGCCGTGCCAGCCTTCATTCTTTTGTCATTGTTAGTTAAAATCCAGGTCGTGTGTGTGTTGTGGACCAGAGGATGTAATGGTACACCTAGGTGCGGGTCCGGCCGTGCCAGCCACCTACGCTACTCCCCGCCTCCGATGATCTTGACACCGGGTCCAGGTGGGGAGAGAGTGCGGAAGATGTTGCCCAAGTCTACTCTCACTATAAACCCCGCGCAAGTCACCGTCCCTGCCCCACCCTACTGTGAAGCATACCGTAGACGTCGTCGGATACGACGATCGTGCGTGTGTGCACCCAAACGGGCCACGTGGTAGATGCGCTGAACCAACACGGCGGCCATATCGGATTTGCGCACCGTAACAGATGCGTTGCGATGGCAGATCCGACTGCCGACAGTCGCCGCGCACACTGGAACCCTGCCACCCTCCTATTGTTGTTGTTAATCAAAAACCTGGTTATTTGCTGTGTGGACCAGGAGGTGTGGAGTGGAACGCCAAGGTGCGGGCTTGACCGTGCTATCCACCTGCGTCCTCCCCCATCTCCGGTCTTCTTGACTCTGTCTTGACACCGGGTCCAGGTGGGGAAGGAGGAGAGTGGCGGTAGATGCTGTGCAAGCCTACACTCACTCTAAACTAATTTACACACAAGTCACCAATCCTGTCGTCACCCCGCTGTGGAACACACGATGGGAATCGTCGGTCACGGCGGTTGAACTGTCGATAACTCGGGCACATTGTTCCCATGGATTTCAAAAAAAACCCAGTACGGCTGCTGAGAACCCCTCTTTACATGATGCCAAAATTAACAAAACGAACCCTGTAGGAGCACAGGGTGTCCGAGAACTCCGAGGTCATAATGCTAGTTAAAAGAGTCAACCGTACGCCTCATTCACAGAAAGCGCTGAATGTTATGAACATTCCCCACAATGCGTAATTTGGGAGGTGTCGCCTAGCCAACGGGCGCCTGACAAAGTTAAAAATCAACTGTGTCGCATGAGTTCATGACGTGTCACTAAAAGGGGGTGCTCGCAATCCTAATTGCCCCGAGTGCATAAACGTAGTGAGAACTGAGCTCCACACCAGTCCGCGACGTTTTATCCGAAGACTAAGTAGTTGTTAGTCCAGAGATCATGCTGGTCTTATGTTAACTTTGCAGGACTGCCATCAAGTTAAAACCATACCTGAAAATTTTCATCGTCTAAAACACTGGGAAATGCTTTTTTTCAGGAGCATTAACCCAAGATGTTGCCAGTGACGTGTTCGATAAAAAATAGAAGATGAGATAGGATGTCTCACCGAACCAACGTTTTTCGTGGTGGCTGGCGCCATGCCATTAGCGGATATTCCGTGAGAAGGTTTTTGGGCCTGAGTGTCCCTTTACTGTCAATATAAAAGCTATAAGTACGTCTCCCACGACCCTAAACGTCTGGAATACCCACTACCATATTTGCAACTTAAGTGGCAAAACCCATATTTACTTCTTCCAGGTGGCACAAAGAGGTGGTGGAAAGGGAAATGACGAACGATGCTTTACGTACCGTTAATCAGGGAACGAGGACGTCCAAACCATCGAGGAAAGAGAAGACGAGCCTGATAAACAAAACGGACAACCTGTGGCTAATGCGTTAGTCAACGGACTAATGCTCAAGTCAGCAGATCAAAATCCCGATGCGTCATTCGGTAGTGCGACGAAGCTCATGAAGTCACTCGAATACTAACCTCTCCAGTTAGATTATATGGAGTTGAGATGATGGGGGCAACGATCCTCATTTTGGAAACGAGCACCGAAGACGGCTAAATCATCTGACCAACATGCGGGTATCCTCTACGCCTTTAACCATGTGACTATGCGAAACCAGGAATCCCTTACTTGGGCGTCCTTCTTCAACGATCTTCTGCACAAACAGCACAATTATTTGAGCAAAAACAAGCCGAACCGGAGAGCCAAAGGGTTGTCCTAGTAACCACGGGTAGTCAACAAGAACTCCGAGTGGCCAACATGGCGTCGGAAATGATAGCCTGATAGGTGTTCGAAGCCAAATTTTCCAGGCACGAATATTTGGCTTCTCTATGCTTGTGGGGGATCAGGTCCGAATAGTCGTAACAGAACAGCCTTAAGTCTTTCAGTTCCGTTATGTCACAAGGTAATATTCCAGGATTTTGTGGCACAGCATTTTGTCGATCACCGCATACCGTCGAAAACAGCTGAAAAGGTGTGTACATCGGAGCCTAGCCGGGTGCAAGCAATAAGGCGCCCTGACGTCAGTTAACGCTGTTTCCGCCAACACCTGCGCAAATCAAGTATGCCAACAGAAATATAACCACACCAGAACATTAGCGCACATATAGTAACGAAAAAAGACGAAGATCACATGACAGGGGTTGCCCTGCGCGCTGCCTCACAGCTCTAAGTGCCCTAAGACAATTTGCCGCCTAAGCGCTGTTCGGAGATCGCCACTAGCAGACAGAGGACATACAACCTAAAATAGAGGCGACACGATCGTGGAGGAGAGACTACTCTGTGGTAAGGATCGTTCTTAACGCTAGACAGAGAGGAAACAGACATGTTGGACACCAAGTTTGGTGCCTAAGTATTAGCTGATTTCGAAACGGGCTTTACTTGGTGATTATTCAAAAAACGTCCCCTGAAAAAGCAACTAAGAAAACCATCAAACTTTGATTTTTCGGTTTTTTTTTCGCACCAAAAGTAGAGCACTTAGGCATGTTCACAGTATCATGCTAGAAGGAGTCATTCTAAGGGTCGGAAAGAAGAGGGAGTGGGGAATATCTAGAACGATGAACAAAAAACTTCCGACAGAGCTGGGCGACTAGATGTCGGCTTTGTCAGGGGTAGTGCTAGTAATGTGGAGGGGCGGAGTGCATTAACAAGAACAGTGATCCTCCAAAGCACATGGTTCTAAATATGACAATAAAAGAACAACGCCCTGGTATGACGACACTAATAAAGTGTCGACGCGGAATCTTCAAACATGGCAGGGCGCGTGCACCTCAAAACTACTTAGTGCACACATAAGCAAATGAGTGCTAGGTGGAATAGGGGAGGGGAAACACGCGAAAATGCAAACAAACGAGGAAACAAAGATTTTCGAAGATACAGAACGATCCGACAACCGTTAGGAAAGCCCCTTGTTGACAGGTAGAAGAGAAAGAGATTTGGCAAGACTGTCCAAATCGACGAGATCCGGTTTGCGCTGTTTTTTCCTACGGGATCTGCGATCGTGGTCTCCTTTGTCTAGGGTTAGAGGAGGAGCAGGCGCTGGCAATTCATCAGTATTAGACGGATCCTGTTCAACTGGATGAGAATGAGGTGCATGAACAGAAGCACCCAGGCCCCAGGCACCGGAAGTCGTCATTGGGGTGGGCGGCGCCTCGGTGAGGGATGGCCAAAACTCGGCCGCACAAATGTAACCAACTTGTCTGTTTGTTCCATTGCATGCGCGTTCAGGGAAACTGGCAATACGGTGACTGTCTACGACGGCAGACGCGCCGACTTTGGATACCTATGACGGGAAAAGAGTGCGAATTCTCTACGAAATATGATATGGGACATTATGCAGAGAAAACTATGCTGGACAGCGTGGCCGATCGTCAGTGAAACAAGACGACCTCAGGGGACTAATTCGGTCATAACACTGACTTTCATAGAGCACATATGTTATTCTATTAATGACTTGTTCCAATTCCGACGATTTTATCAGATCGAATTCGTTTAGACTGACAATCTCGAGTATTCGTATATTTCGTCTCCCGTCCAGCACAGCAAAAGACCGTAAAAAAACCAAAGGTCCATACCGGGTTCCAGCTTTACATATGCGAAATTAAAGGCGACTGCAAAAGTGGACAGGTTTGCTAGGATAAACACTGTTTACTCCAAAAGGAATTAGTTTAGGAGATGAAAAACAGCATCAGCAGGAATAAGACACATCGTGGTACTCAGCCCTTCCTTCCTGGACGGTGAAATATCGAGATGTGTCCTATGACCGAAGTGAGCTGCGCACATTATTTGTCATCTAAACCACGAGTCCACTGCTGATACCGTTCCTGTGATGTTGCTGCTTAATCGGAAAGACTCAAGAACTGGCTTGAAATTGTCCTTCAAGAAATAGAGGTGGCTCCTGGGCGTTTGATTTTCGTATCTGGAGTTGATCGAACATTCGAAATACGCTGTCACTAACAACTATGCATGAAGAATTATGGCCTTAATATAACCGAGGTCGGTTAGATTAAAGCATGATCCTAGTCACAACAGATAATATATCTAGTTGAAAAATTCGAGTATTCAAACTTCCAGTCACGAAATGCTACTACTTCCAGTCGTGGACCAGCTCACTGAACTGAAACGAAATATACAGGCATTTTTTAAAATATAAATGCCGAGGTTTTAACAACACACTGAGTGCTATGGGCATAAGATACCTTCTCTCTGATGGAGTCAGACAATACAGCTGCAGACAGTGCTGAACAGCTTTTTTGGCAAGTGGTTGATGCTATATATTTCAAAAATGACAATTTTTAACACGGACAAGTTAGATAAACAGGCACCGGAATTTCAGCTCACCGAGGCAAATGAACGACGGAAACAAGATTTGGTCGGCTGAACATCGGAAGTTTGACAGAGTGGGACAAAGTCTTCGTCTGTTGGCACTTCGGCTAAATTGGCATGGGCCACCAGTCTGCAACCAAGAGCTGTAAAAAAGCAATGAAGCAAACAAATGATCGCATTGCGAGGGTTCTCAACATCTGATGGTCAGTCAACTACACATTTGGTCAATGGGACCAGTGAAGTGGACGAAGGACGCTGACCACACTATCTTGTTTAGATTCGTCGATGTCACTTGTCGTAAGATCGGCGCCGTGTGCAGTTATGAAAGAGGGCCTGCAGTTAGACTGGACCCAATATGCACCACCCGCTACTCTGTGTAACGGGACAATTATAGTACCCACTCGGGTCGGGATTTCAGAAACGACAGGGAAAGACTGGAGGACTGATGTTTTAAGACGGGGGAACTTGCCTATGGAGTTTCAAGATGAGTGCCGAGGACATATCACAAAACTCTGCACACTAACTGTGCTGAACGATCTGTCTTTGCCGCGGACACGATAATCCAACCTACAGCTAGATGGAAGGTAGAGACCGATCATAAGCTTGATTATTGTTACAGGTGAAAACAGGGGAGAACCGAATGGTCGTTTCCGAGTTATTTGCCGCCGTCAGTCAGTCTCAACTGAGGACCCCGCCTGAGGACCTGAGGTTCGAAACAGTGGTCCGGTTACTCAATAAGGCAGAGACTACATACTAAGACACAAATTGACGCTCTGTCGGCTACAACCGGAAACATTCAAAAGTAGGTACGAGGGGTGTTCGCCGATCTAACGGGAGGCGAGAGTAGCAAGAAGACGACGTGGAGGGACTTACGGAGTGTGGGAATTCTGTTTTCTGCCTCTTCCTTAGCGAGCGTCAGAAGCAGTTCCTTTTGCAGCTGCTGCTCGCGTTTGTGAGAACGAGCCAGAAGCAAGTCAGACATCTCATCTAACGTCTTCTGACTGACAGTTGGTGGTTGCAAATCCAACTCCACAAAATAGAAGGGTCGGCCAATGGGCAAGTGACTCAGGTACCGATACCTTCTTCGAAGATCCTGAAAAAAAAATACCTTAGGGAATATACCGATTCGTAGTACTTATTGGACAGTGACCCTACTGCTCGGTATGAGAAAAATGACTCAACGGTATAGCTCCATTCTATAGAATCCCAGATGTCAGTTTCTTTTAATTTGTATAACATGAAAGTAGGGTCGATAATGTCTAGACAAGGTTTTATATTTGGCCAGAGAAACTTTTTTTCGCAGTTATCTGGGCTGAAGCAAACGCCGGACAGCAAAGGGCGAACCGAGATTGATTTGATATTATAGAAGTTACCCGCTGGAGGGCCATAGCTGCCGCAGTGTAAGGTTTACGTGATCCAACCCCAGCACTATCAAACCTGCTGCCTCTTTCGCTGCCGACACAAAGCTGTTGGGAGTAAAGAGACTTTCCGTAAGACGCTGCCAAACATGCATGGTTGGTAATTATTCTATGCATTCACGCCAGTGCCGCAGAATTGAAAGGCATAAGTCATAAAATTCGGCGTCGACAAACCTGAAGGAGAAGCTTCCTGAACCAGATGGAGGACTACCAAGGAAATGATCACACCAAATCGGACCAATTTGCTCGTTGATCACCCCGATGGTATCAATTTGAACAGAAATTGGTGGAGTTATATCAAGAACCCGTTAAAATCGGCGAGGCGCGTTACCGAACCATCTAGGATTGTGGCTCTTTACGCCAATAGCAGTTCGGCCATGGAGATTCAGCGAGATGTAATGCATAAGTCGCAGTATTCGCCGAAGGCCAATGGTAGAATGCGTAAACCTTCTTCAAACCAGGACATAGGTGTCAAGGTTCACAGATGTAGAAAATGGCTTTGGTCGTGACCTCCTATGCTAAAGTGCTTTCTGACGGATCTCGCGGCGGGACTACAAACATTTATTGAGCTACCACATGTTGTGGAGGTTGATCTCCTTCTGACAAGGGTCTTTCAGTAATACAAAGGGAGCAAAGAGGTGGCTATTCAGAGCCGTTTATCAAGGGGTGTGGAATCGTTGAGCAGCGCTCAAAGCGTTCAAATAAAGACCGAATCGGAAGGAGGCGACGACTACGCCGTCACGGCGGACCTCATTTCCTGAATTCCCAGGTAAAAAAAAATATTACCATGGCCTAGGTTGGAGACGGGAAGATCTCGCCCAGCTTGGACGCACTTGCAGTTTCGTGTATTGAGTTACTAGACCGCATTGTTGAAAAGGACTAGTTAAAGGGTAAGGCCTGGTAAGACACCAACGCTGACGACAATGTGCGAACCATCCACAATGCGGTTTGAAACTAAGTTCGCGTGAGTTCATAATGTGCGTCAATGAAGTTGACTTTCGGGGGAATTCTATCAGTCTTATACGCCTTCCACGGAAACGGCTGTTTTACGAAAGCTACATTGGGAGCAAAGACAGTCGACATCTGCTAGGAGTATCTGGCTGACAGCCAACATGGAGAAATCTGTCTTGGTGTTTCCTTGCCTTTTGCCTCGGTAGTAGTAGTGACATCGTATAGGTTGACTCTTCCATAATAAAGGCATTCTGTGTTTTCACCATCTAGTACTCGTACTTACTTGTACTTGGTATGGCTGCAATAATGCCTGATCTAGCTGGCCTCCATGATGTCCCGAAGTCTACCTCTCCACGCGTCACAATTCGCGACGGCAGATCTGGACAGTTCAACTCATTCTCTTCACCAACGACGAATACCGAAGGTCCAAGAACCACCTCCATGTCTTGACGAACTGTGTCGAGCCCGGTTTTGAGTTGATCCCTTCTTCAACGCCTCCAATGGGGTAACGGTGCCGGATCGAGGGCAGTAACACTGAGCTCCCGAGATGGACGACGAAGAACATGTCCAAGTTACCTAAGCCGCCTTTCTTGAATGGCCTGGGTTATCCTTGCGATGCCGCAGTGAGCGCGGACCGTCTCATTTGAGACGAAGTCGGTATACTTCACTCAGAGGATGGTCCTCAAGCAGTGGTAGTCAAATGCCTCCAGTTTTCGTCCTCCACGAGCACAGCCCAGTATTCACAACATAGAGGACAGACCGGACAGATGCACGGTACACGCGACTCTTGGTGGCGATGGAGGTCGCGTCGGATCCATAGGCATTTTTAAGGCTTGGGGAAACCTGTCGGGCAGCATCAACTCATGAGACAATGTCATCCTTAGTCTGCCCATTCGGCAGCAGTCTTGCCCCGAGGTATTTAAGACTGTCTACTTTTTCAAGTTGACAGCCAGCAATACCGAAAGATGCCTTCTCTTAACCAGGGATGCAGCTTGAAAACACTGTTGTCTTCCCAGCGTTTGTGGATAAACCGACTGATGTAGCGACCTCTTCCACCCTCCTCGAATGGAAGTAGGACTTTCCTCCAGTCTTTCAGACAAAATAACAGGCTTTGCAGTTAAGGTACAAGAAAATTCGTAATCAACACCGTATTCTAAGAGTTCGGGTCGGTGGGTGGGGGGAAAATGCCCCATTGAAGATGTCATGGATCTCGCTCAACGATACGCGGAAAAAGTACCTACTAAGTATCAAATTCCAAAAAAGGAATCTTATTCAACAGTTATATGGGAAAGCGTGAAGCGGGGCCTCCACGAAACGCAATAAAGAGAGTATGGAGGGCATAGGCAGAAAGCGCAAGGGAAGGCAAACAAAAAATAATGGCGAAGCAAGGGCTTACATGATTCATGGAGTAGCGATCAATTTGCACAACGGTACCCGAAATTCGCCGCGGCAGCTCACGGTCCTTGTATTCGGTCATCAGACAACGCCAATTCACACTGTGGAGGTATATGTTCAGTCCATGTATGTCTAGACCGAATGGATGACAAGAAACGAGAAAATACCTTCGTAGTAGGTGTACACATGCTCCGACTCGGACACATCAAGGGGAAAAGTTTTAGGCGTGTGGGCATTTCGGTTGATCAAGCCTACACAATCCAGCTCTTCACGAAGTTCGCGGAGAAGAGCCTCGACGTAAGGAATCATGCAAATGAGGTCATCATCTGAAGTGCACTCTGCTAGGTAAGTTTCCAAGCAACATTGGTCCCTTTTGACGAGATTTTTGATGTCGACTGATGTGGCCACGGCCACGCGCGTAAACAACGAGGAAGCTGCCTCGGAATTCGGTACCGGGATATGTGCCAAATTTTCCGAAAAGCGTAGGGGTAACATGATGTTCCTATGGCGTTTCATGAGTACCAACTCGCATGTCTGGCCAACCTGAGGCAGCGTTACAGGGCACATAAGCACCCTAAATACTCGATTACTGAGGAAAGGGCGCCGCACCTTTTTAACTCGCTACACCGTAGGAAAATGGTACAAACGGCACATTTTCGTGATAAAAGGTCGTTCTCATATGTAATGAACCGATAAATACAGGGCCAACAGTAAATGTGGCCGCACGGACCCATTCGGGGAGCAACTGGGGGGTACAAACAAATCGGACAGTTGGTGGGTTCAGTATGAAAGTACCGGACTTCTGCTACGTCCCTCCACGGTATTACTTCGTCCGAAGATTGGAAGTGCCTGCTCACATCTGTTCCTGGGTAGACTAGAACCTGGCACCTAAAAAGTAAGGAAAGTATAGAAACTAACTTGGATGTGATGAAATCACAATCAGCATCCACATAGTCAAACGAGTTTCCATTACGAATTGCGTTGCCCTGTGTAACCTCAACGTCCTGGAAATCAATTGCGGTGGACACGCTATAGGATGGGTGCCTTCCGCGCACTTTCCCTGGGCGACCGCCAGGATGCCGACGAAGTGCATCGAAGCTTCGGGTGGGTGCCGAAGAGTTCTGCACAGGATGGTGGTTTCCCCCTATCAAATCATTACCAATAATTAAGGCTGCTACTCTTGTTTCTTGTGATTACAGACGAACTCTCCACTAGCAGGCCTGCGGACGCGTTTCTTTCCATCATGAACTTCCCGAACCGACCAGGATATTAACGTATTTGTGTGCGGTTTAATGACCGGAAGAACCATTTTAGAGCGCCATTTCACTCGTAAAATAAGTATTTTGGTTGCTGTATAAACGCTGTTTATGTAAATCTGGTCTAGAAGAGACTTGGTGGAGGATCTGTCACTGGGCGTTACGGTAAAAACCGTAAAAATGGCCGCCGACCAGTAGGAACGCAGACCAACGAACCAAACGCCCTAAAAATCCAAGGTTAAGGGTCAATTGAAACAACGCTATGTAATCCACATCTACTTAGTTCTTAGACTGCAATCACCGGAAATAAATTATACCTGCCTAAGTTCCCAAATTCTGGAGTTCTAAGCTAGAGTTCGGGTCTGCTGACTTCTTAATAATATGGTGACTTTCTGCACAGATTGTGGAGGATATAAAGACCATATTTTGCAATTTGCTGCTGACATCCGTTACGTCCAAGGCAGTGACAGTGCCGCTGTTGATGAATCAGCTATGCCGTTCATCAATACCCTGATCACCAACTTCTATCTGGGGAAGCACTCAAGTCTCCAACTAGTGGACAAATCCATTGTTGACTCGTACGTCTTCTCTTCTGCACTTTCGAGATGCATCACTCCCGGCATCTCTAGGGGCTATTTTGTGCTATTAGTCCACAGGTGCCCCCGACCTATTGTCCCATTATCCTGCCGTAAGGTAGTGTTTGACCATCCCCATTCCCTGTGGCATCCCCGCATCCGCACTCTTCGTATGCTAATCGCCACTCGCTTTATTTGGCCGAAGAAAGACTCTGACATTGCTCTTTGGACCAAGCAATGCTCAGCCTGCCAGACAAACAAAGTCCATCGCGATACATCTTCTCCACAAAGAAAATTTGCGGCGCCAGGCATGTGATTCCACCACGGTTTCGTGGACTTAGCTGGGCAGTCACCCCCTCATGTGGGTGCACGTACACCCTGACAGTGGTTGCCCGCTTCACGCGATAGTTATTCCCATCTTGGCAACCCCGGCAGAGAATACTGCTATAGTTTTTCTGATCCATTTTATTTCAATTTTTGGCGAACCAGCCACCACTACCGCTAACCGAGGGGGCCAATTTCAATCCAGCCTCTTTCATGAATTCAGTAGACTACTCGCTGTGTGCACACCACAACCACGGCATATCATCCCGCCTTCAGCAGCATCGTGGAGCGTCCACACCGTCAACTGAAGTCAACACTGATATCCCATTCAGAATCAGCCTCTTGTGACACTGTCCCTCTTGTGTCTTTGGCATCCGATCTTTTATAAAGGAAGACATGCAATGTCCTGCCGCCAAACTCGTATGCGGAAAACACTCCGTCTGCCAAGTGCCTTCGGGCAACAGTTGAAATATTACACGGCTCAACTGCGTCCATCGCCCACTCGTCTGACATTCAAACGTGTGCTTGTGCATGAAGACCTTGAACCTTCCCCACTCGTTTTCCTCCGGCATGCCGCAGTTCAAAAGCCTCTTTGTTCGCACTACGGCTCATATAAGGTTCTTCAACCGATGGACACGTATTACGTCATTCGGAAGGCTGACAAGACTTAAGCCAGCCTATTTTGAGCGCATCACACCCCCGTTTTGCCGTCTTATTCCTCCACATCGGCACCACCCGTTTAGGTCGCCCATACTCAACCACCGCTCTCGACCACCCCACCCACCCATAGTGATTCTATTTCTAGATCACCACGCATCTCATCTAGTTTTGGAAGACACATCCAAATTTCTGCCAAACTCAAAGACTTTGTGTAGCTTTTTGAATTTTTTTTTATTATCGGGAGTTTTTTGCTCAACGGACGCTCTGGTGAGAGAGTCGTGTAGGTATATGTACATTTTCGGTTTTTATCTTCCCATTTTCCTCTACGTCTATATCTTCCGGCACTGTTGTTTGAGTATGCTAAAATACACACAGCAACCGGTTTCGGCTTGCGATAATGTGCGTTGTCCGTCCGAATGCTGCATAGTGTCATTACTTCACTGATTACCCCCATGCGTCCCAGTCATTTTTAGTCAAGTGTCACAATTAGTTTTTATCCCTCCATCGTATCTCACTGAACACGCATCTACCCGAGCAACAAGCTCTACTAATCAACTTCAGCTCTGGACTTTACTCAGGGCAATTTTCACGCTACGCAACTGACATCTGAGAGAGATTCATTTTTCGTGAGTCTGTACTACTGTTTGCCTTTGCCGTTTTTTCATTCTTCCTCGCCGTTGTTTTCTGTAAAAAACGCAACACTCCCCACATAGAGTTAATTTTTTCCTGTATGTATCAGTCCATTGCAGTTTTAGTTGTTACTGACTCAACATTATAAAGACATGTACGCCATAGAACGCCTACAACAAGCTAAAGGACAGGAGTAGAACAGACAACACGTCGTTGGTAAAATGAAGACAGGGAAATTAGTAATTGTGGAAGTCAGAAGGCTGAGGAAAAATGACGGTGCAAAGTAAATCGCCCACCAAACCAAGGAAACAGACGAAAAAAGGCTAAACGAAAATACATGACAAGCCAGCGCCCAAGCGGGATAATGATAAAAGTGAGGACGGAACTTACGTCAAAAGTAACTGCAAAATGATCGTATATTCATTTCAGTCCAGTTTAGTTCATCTTGCTGAGGAAAATAGGTGTGAGCCTTTCAGTGCCCAATTTGCAACGTAAAAATGGGTGCGTAGTACAGAGAAATTATCTGCGAAAAAATAATTCAAAAGGACCCATACTGGTACGACAGATTGGGAGTAAGTACCAGGGGATGAGCATACAGCCTTGCGTGCCGAACAAAGATATTGCCTCAGAGGAAAGTCAAAAATGCTTCTTATCAAGAAGGTGATGACACGATCGTTGGAAAAGGATTTTTGGTTAGGCATCACAGTCTAATCCACCACCAGAAAGAAAATCAGATATAAGCAATGTGATTCAATATTCTTAAGATGCAACTGTCATGCCATTGCTCTCCTGTCGTATAATGGTGACTCAGGCATGTATTTCCGACTGTTGCACATCGTGCAATATTTGTTTGACTACCAAGCGCTGCACTATGCGATTTCTATGCCTTGCATACCACTTGAAGCCGGCGACTTCCAAATTTATTGCAGACGGTCGCCCGGCGGGCGATATTCGTTTATTTGTCATCAACCGAGTTGCTGATTGGCGAATTGCCATACCTCATGCGGGTGCATATGCAATTCTATCCATCATTAGCAGCAATGGGAGGGTTTTGCACGTTACACAGTCTATTTCGATTTCACTAAGACTTTTAATCGTGTTGACCATGCTCTTCTTTGTAGAGGACGTACTGACCCTGTTGTTTTAATGTGCTCTTGCGATGATCTTCCTGTACAATTTGACTGATTGAATTTCTGAACGGTTTTGTTTTAGTGACCGCCGTCGAAGAGTGTGAGGGGGCCCGTCGAGAGACCGCCCGTAAAGTGGAGGACGAAGAGAAGACGGAACGGGATTAAATTTCCTCTGTCGATATATTCCCTTTAATAAACTTTATCCACCGACGATCCATTCTATCCGTGCACGCTTGCCCTTGCAGGTGATGGACTTAATTCACTCTGATTCCCAGGGTTCCCGCCGAGGAGGCACTCGTTCGGATAAGAACACCAAGGAAGCCAGCACGGACTGTCGCCTAGAAGGAGAAGAAGACAAGATCATACCCTTGAGTGGCTCGAGTATTACATCTTCTCTTGAAACTGTCCTCTTTCGGGATAGGCAAGAAACTTTTGAATTCCATATCCTCTTACCTGGGCACTCGTACACAACGAGTTAAGAGTTCCAATGCGATCTCCAACCCCACATGTGTGGGGAGTGAAGTCATTCGGGGTAGTGTACTCGACCCGCTTTTATTTTGCCTTTTTGTTAACGATATACCCGATGTATTTAAGAATGATAAGCCTTTCATGTATGCCGATGATCTTAAAGTTGCATATCGATGTAGGCCTGCATATCGTGACATCGTGCTTGAGTTCCTTAAGAACGACCTACAGGCCCTTGCTCAGTGGTGCTGCACATGGAACCTTCCTCTTTCTTGGCATAAACATTCAGTCATGGTGGCTGGCGACGACCACGAACCTCAAGTAGGTATTGACGGTCACGTCATTAATGTGCCTGGAGTTATTAAGGATCTGGGTGTATAATACTCCAAGAGTTCTAGTCAGCCGGAGCACTGCGCCTTGATAGTCTCCAAAGCACGTAGAACGACCAGGTTTATCCTTCGAAACTTTAAAAGAAGGGACATTAGAATGCGCCTCTACAACATGTACGTTAGACCTGGCCTGGAATACTGTTGGTTTTTATTTAGCCTCATGCGTGCTACTGAGCGGAAGAAAATAGAATCCGTTCAGCATTTTTTATCAAGAGAATTTTAACCATGGAACATCGAAATTTGCCTTACCCAGAACGTTTCCGGATTACAGGCCTTGATCATTTATGGTTTTGTAGATGACGAAAGGGACTATTCTTGCTATTTAAGCTCTTATATAATCACAAATTTAACTCACTCACCTCTTTAAGACATCATGCCCACCCCTGATGTAACAGTCACCGTGAGGTCTTTTTATTTCTTCCTCTGGCACATACTGTTAAATATCGTCGGTTCATTTCTGCAAATGCAATTGCTATTTAGGATAAACTACTCAGGAATATGAAAACTCAGCAAAATTATCCTTTATTTAAGAGAACTTTTACTCGCTTTTTGCATTCAGAAAAGCTGCCACAAATGTTGGGCGCTGAATCCACTGATCGACTCTACCGTAGCGATGGAGTTAGTGGTCTCTGAACACTATGGCCGGTTTCAACAGGGACCATTTCTTTGGCCAACAGCGACAGTTATTCTTCGGCGCTTCTGTTTGGACTAACCCCACATTCATGAAAGAAATTGGCGACTGATAATATCCGATACCGTGCAACCCCTCCCTTCTTGACGGTCGAAAGTTTGCCGCCAGCAGTTTTTTTCTCC